TGAAAAATTTCACCTTTGCAACTAGTTAAGCTGCTCATACCGAACAACATTATGCCATTTCTAATTTCATGGCCTATATAACTTTTGCCCTTTTATTTATTTTTATTTTTGTTTTCATATTTATTTTCACTTGGTTTTTGGATATTTGTCTTACTCTCAACTCTGCACAGCTGGTCTTCCTTGTCAATTTGTCATTAGCTATTGTACTTTTTGGATCATTTTAACATCTCTATACTCTAATTCAACCCTTCCTCCTCTAATCACGTTGAGAACATAGATAACAACTTGAAGCCTATGTTTATTTTTAATAATGCTTTAGTAAACTATACAATAACACTATATTAATAAACAACTTTTCATATCATGCACTCACTTTAATACAGGTCAACTTTTTGTTTTAAACAATCAAATATATATAGAGAAGGAATGATCATATGAGAATACATGTCTAATTCATGAGTTGATACAATTAAGGAAAAATATACACTAATATTTTTGTAATTACAACAATACATATTTGGAAACGATTGATAATAATGTATGTGTACTTTTAGTTATTTGTAAATGCACTATCACATATTTTTAAATTATTCTTGTCATAATTATGAAAACGATTTTTTCCATTTCGCTTAATTTCCAGCATTTGATTAATACATATAGGCTGCATAGAATTATGTTTGCTTGTGAAATTTTCAACATAAATTTAATATTTTTGGCTCGCTTTATTAATAGATTATTATCAAATGAAATCATTTTTTAATTGTAAATGAATAATTAAAAGTAAAAATTGTTGCATCATTATTTTATACTTTAATTTATTCATCGTTAACAGGTGTGATGTCCTTGTTGAGGATGTTGAATCCTTGATCTCCACTATGTAACAATGACGATGGATGCCGGAAATATTGTACTATCTTCCTACAGTTTATTGGAAACGGTATCTGTAAGACATCATCTTCCACATCACATGATTCTAATCCTATCATTCTATATTTAAATTATTTAATTATATATGCCAAGCACTTTGTGCTTAGATGGCATATAGTGACGACCTCTCTAATATGGAATATTGAAGTTATATTATTTTATATAATATACATTCAATACACGAATAATGCACTTTTAGTATATTAAAAATATACTTTTTGTTATAATTTACACAATAATTTTCCGATTAATTTGCCAATTTGGTAATTTATTGACGACTGATTAAATTTGGATTCTTTGTTCGAGTAATTCCATTATTATTAAAAAAAAAAAAAAATCGCATTCTATGAATTTAGACACAAACAAGAACACGTCATCTGTTTTTTTTTTTTTTTTTTTTTTTTTTTTTTTTTAACACGTCATCTAACTACGTACTTAGGCCCTTATGAGTGTTAGGCGGCACCTTGATTCTTAATTCATCAACTATAAGGATTTGCTCGTCACAGTTAATTCACACTTAGTATTCCTAACCATTTATGTGCATTACATTAAAGTTTATATTTAAAATTAAAATATAATTTATAATTTTTAGCAGGTAAACAAATATATATTAATTGAATAAGTTATACATAACTAGAGTAATGTTAATAAGTTAATATCATCCTAAACTGTCAACATAAATGTCAAATTAATATTTTAGTCTTATTTATTTCTCTTTTGCAATGTTAATTAATAGTGTTATAATAGCACAATGTCATTTTTGCTTTAAGAGAGTTAACAAACAGAGCTTTTGGTAAACTAATTGTGTTCAATAAGTATTCTTTTATTAAGGTAAACTAACATAAATAAATAAATTATAATGCTCGTTTAATAACGAATACAACCTGATCATTTGTAGCTCGTTTGCTAAGAGCTCATGAACAAGCTCGTTTAATGTTCGTTTAATAATGTTTATGATTTTATGAACAAACTCGTTTAGTGTTCGTTTAATAATGTTCATTAACAAGCTCGTATAGTGTTCTTTTAATAATGTTCATGAACAATCTCGTTTAGTGTTCGTTTAATGTTCACAAACATACTTGTTCAGTGTTCGTTTCAGATTGTTTACAAACAAATTAAACTCATTAAGTACAATTTATTTTATTTTATTTAGTTTTAATATATTAATATATTACATTAGTACTTTAGTTTAGGCGTTAAACACACACACACACACACACACACACACACACACATATATATATATATATATATATATATATATATATATAATTTTACATATATTTTTTCATATTGTCATATCCTACTAGAGCAAACCCAGTTGATAATTCTTATTCACATTCAATTTAGGTTTTGGTTTTGCCTTGCCGTTTTGATAAATCCACGCAATTATCGCAAGCCCGCATTGTTTATCTGTCGCAAATCCACCTATAATGGTGCTTTGAGAATTAAGCACCCACAAAGTGCTGATTATGCACAGGTTGTGCTCATTCCGGAAGGAGCTTTGATAATTAGGACGAAAGGAGTAAATTTTTTTTTAAAAAAAAAAAATATTGTTCACGAATAAATTATGATCATGAACACATATAAGTATTTATTTATTTAGCGTTTATGAACATGTTCACAAACATTAACGAACACTAATAAATGCTTAACAAATCGTCACGAACATGATTTTCAAAATCTTAACAATCGAACACTAACACTCCAAAAATATTAACAAACGAATAATAACCACCTATATTCGTTCATGCTTGATTCGTTAATAGCCTTATTTTTGCCCAAATATCTATTAGCACACTAAATAGGAAAAAAAAATCAAGGATGTAAAAGAGTTTTAGATTATTTCAAAACTATAATTACAATACAATTAGCTACCCATAAAAAAAAATTTATCCAATAACAAGATTAAAAATAAATATCTTTAATTTAATCATAACAAATAATCACATAAAATAAAATTGATAAATAATAAGAAATAATTCATGAATAATATTGTTAAAGCAGTCAATTAATTATTAATTATTGGAGCAAAAAAAAAAAAGGAGATGATGAAGTCAAAGTAATAATAAAAATATAAAGGTTCTGTTTGGTAAAATAGTTAGCCTATCAATTAATATTAGCTTGTTTGATCGCTATTAGTTGTTTGACTCGGTTAGAGTATTTGATTAATTAAATTTATTATTATTATTATTATTTTTTTGTAATAGATTGTTATTTCAAAATACTAAAATTCAAATTAACTTTTTGAGCAAATCATTTTCTATGTAATCAGTTATCTCCTAACAACTAATTTACCAAATATATTTATACAATCTGACAATCTGCTATCAACTAGTCAAATCACTAATCACTAACCTAGTCAGCTAACAATTATATACCAAATACCCCATAATCAGATCAAAGAGAACTAGAGATCCATGCTTCATCGTGCTTCTATGAAACATGGACTACTCTATGTTGACGTACATCTAGAGTGATTAATACTAAAAAAAAAAAAAAGAGTAAATACCAGTGGACATCCTCCGACTTTGGTGGCACTGTCACTTTTAGTCCTCAACTTTTAAATCAACCATTCATAGTCCTTTTACTTTTTGTTTCTAGCCATTTATGGTCCTTCCGTTAAACTTGGCCATCTAATGCCACTTTTTAAAGGATAATTGAGTCCTTTCATAATTAATTCTAAAGGGAAAAATCATTGTTTGACTATTATGATGATGAAATTAAACATAGTAATTAATAAATTAATTATGAAAGGACTCAATTACCCTTTAGAAAAGGGCATTATATGACCAATTTTAACGAAAGGACCATAGATGGTTAAAAACAAAAAGTAAAAGGACTAGAAGTGGTTGATTTAAAAATTAAGGACTGAAAGTGGCAGTGCCACCAAAGTCAAAGGACGTTTGCTGGTATTTACTCAAAAAAAAAAATAACGGACTCAATTTTATAAAAGTTACAAGCATTAAATTTGTGCTCCGTAATATTTATAAAATTAATCTCGCTAATTTTGTCCCTATTTTTAATTTTAACCAATAAGGGTCCAGTTGGAAAGCAGGAAAATGACTTTTGGAAAATGACTTATTTTTCAGAAAACATTTTCCTTTTCGGTGTTTGGCTGCACAACGAAAAACTGTCTTTGTATATTTGGTTCATTTTTCAGAAAATGAATAGGAAAATGACCAGAATTGTATACTTCAATTATTTTTATTTCTTCACTATTTTTTACTTTTTATATTATTTGATAAGTTCATTTTTTTATTTTATTTTATGCTCTGTTGTGTTCTTCTCCCCTAAAATTTTATGCTCTGCTGTGTTCTTCCCTGCCTTGCAATTCAGAAAAACAGAGTAATTCAGTCAAAACAAATAAGCACATGAACCCAAAACACCCACCTCCATTTCTACAAAAATCAGAGGAATTGATTTCACAAATCAAAAAAATAGTGAGAGAAAAAAAATATCACAAACATCTCCCTAGTTCATTATTGGTTTCCTTCCGCAGCCGGAAACCAGCTGCGAGTGGTTTCCGACTGCGGAAACCAGATCTCTGGTTTGCGCATCGAAAATCAGTGATGAGGAAGCCTCTAAGCGGTGGAGCTTTTTTGGTGATGGATTTATTGCTGGAGTTTGTTTTTGTGTTGAGGAGGCTGAAGCTCGTGGCTTGGAGATTGCAGGTTCCGTGTACGTATGATGAAGATGGAAAATGACTTCCTAAAAAAAAAAAGGAAAGTCATTTTCCGGAAAAGTGGAGTGATTTTCTATTGACTTTGAGTTATTTTCCTTTGACTTCTCTTTTCCTAATCTAGCCAAACACCAGAAATTCAAAAATCATTTTCTAAGTTTCCAAAAACACCCTAAGTTTATTAAATCAAGAATTACGGAGTAGTATTTATCCATATAACCATATTTTTTATCCGTATAATCAGGGGAGTCGGGCTATACTTACAAAATTTAACCGCATGTAAATAGATAAAATATGACGGGGTAAACGCGATCAAAGGCGACCAATGACAGAAAACGCCACGCAGAGTTTTGACGCACCCGAATGCTAACAAAACGCACAGCTAAACATCGGCATAGCGTATCACAGCAAAGCAAGAATCGAATCAGCCGACCCCTCTTTCTCCCGCTCACGGGACTTATATATACACACAGAGAGATAAAAGGTGGGAATTCTTCTTGTTTTTTTGTTGCATTGTTTTCGGGGTTGGTTGGTTCTTGGTTTGTTTTTTTCTTAGAGGGAGGAAACAGTGTTGGTGGTGGTGACGGCGGCGGCGATGCAGAGAAGGAAGTGGAGGACGGTGTTGGCAGTGCGGCAACTGCTCAAGTTCGCCATAGGCGTAATAGCTCTCCTGGCTCTGCTTTCCGTACACGTTCAACTGATATTCCCTCCTTCCGCAGTCATCAAGTTGCCTGATAAGCTCCCTATGGTATCTCTCTCCCTTTCTTCAAGTGAACATTTCTAGCATATTTCTCCAATCTGTTTCTTGTTACGGATTGATCTCATCTTTTCCAAATTGCAGTTTTCTTGGCGTGTTCTTGTCATTTATAGTGATTCTGTATATGACTCTTTTGGTTTGGTTCTCGAAACTTATTGGTCATCGTGACGTTACTTTATTTTGTCTTCAAGTACATCTCGAAGAACATCGATGATCCTTTTAGTCGTTTCCCAAAAGAATTTTCGGAGTATTAATTATGGTGTATGAAAGTTGGTGTAATTCTTGAGTGAAAGTTTGAAGCTTTATTCTTCTTTAATCTTTACTGGGGAGGGATTAATTTTTATTTTTTTTAAATAAAAATTTGAAGTGTCAATTAAGATTTGGTTCTGATCTGGGTTGTTTTACTATTGCAGCCATATGAGCTCGGGTACCAACGACTGAGCAGAGAGGGAAACTGGATGCATGAACCTTCTCTCCCTGCTCGCAAGGTTTCATTCTTCTCAGATTGAAAGCTATTTTTGTTTTTCAGTTTCAATTGAAAGAATTATATGTATTTTCTGTTTGGAGTTTCTGGATTTCATTATCATAGATTTGCTTTTACTTGGTGTGTACTTGTAGGTATTGAACATTTTGGACAGTAATTGTTGATACCAAGTAGTTATGCATCTTTCATGTTTTCACTCCTTTAGATTTGACAGTTGGAAGGTGAAAGATGGAGTTCAGATGTGGACAAGTTATGGAAACCGCCGCCTAATAGAGACTATGTACCATGTGTTTCACCAACCTCGTTTTACACACGTAAGAAGCTTTCAGTTTGCCAGGCAAATATTTTCACAACTCCATTTTTTCCCCACTTAAAGATTTGATTTTTCCATTTGCTTATCCTTCATAGTGCAATTTGATATCCAGCTCCTACACAGTCTCGAGGCTACCTTCTGGTCCATGCAAATGGTGGACTTAATCAGATGAGGGCTGGGGTTTGTATTCTTTTCTCTGTGATTTATTTTGCATTAGAGTTATTCAATACAATTCCAAGATGAGATAGCTCGCATTTGTGGGTCAAATTCAAAATTTTTGTTGAAGTAGATAACGAGTTTTTGAAGTATCCATGAGTGGCTCATGAAGGAAACGCTATTTGTTGCTTGCAGATTTGTGATATGGTTGCTGTTGCTCGTATTATAAACGCTACTCTTGTGATGCCAGAGCTTGATAAACGCTCATTCTGGCAGGATTCTAGGTATATTGTGTGCCTTGAAAAAAACATTTCTATTCCGTTTCTTCTTGTTTTTCTTTGTTTTGCTTCTTATTATTGTTCCTTGTAGTTTGAGTCTATCTACCTGCATTTTACGTTCGTCTTTGAACACTTGTACATATTACATGCAGTAATTTCACCGATGTCTTTGATGGGGATCATTTTGTTAAGTCGTTGGCAGATGATATAACGGTTGTGAGCAAGCTACCTAAGGAATTGGCAACTGCAACTAGGGCAGTTAAGCATTTCAGAAGCTGGTCTGGTGTGGATTATTATGAGCAAGAGATAGCCAGCATGTGGGCAGACTATCAGGTCATTCGAGCAGCAAAGTCTGATTCACGATTGGCTAATAATAATCTGCCTCCCGATATCCAAAAACTGCGGTGCAGAGCTTGTTATCAAGCCCTCCGCTTTTCACCCCGAATAGAAGCAATGGGAAAGGTTATTATTTTTTTTTGAATTCAATCCTTATTTCTATCGAATGTATATTGTTGTTTTGTGATCATTTTTTTGACGGTCACTCTGCAGATTCTGGTTGATAGGATGAGATCCTACGGTCCATATATTGCATTGCATTTGCGATATGAGAAAGACATGCTTGCCTTCAGTGGATGCACGCATGATTTATCCCCACAAGAAGCCGAGGAGTTAAAGGACATCAGGTATATGATATTTAGGAACATAAGTTTACATTCATGGATGAATTGTTTTATTCATGTTTCTGATTTGCAGGGAGAACACTACCTGGTGGAAAGTGAAAGACATTGACCCTGTAGACCAGAGAGCCAAAGGCTATTGCCCCTTAACGCCAGAAGAGGTTGGGATGTTCCTTTCTGGTTTAGGATTCCCATCGAGCACTCCAATATACATCGCTGCTGGAGAGATTTATGGGGGTGAATCCCGCATGGCCAACCTATTCTCCCGCTATCCCCTAATCATGAGCAAGGTATAGCTATCTCCAATCCGATATTGCTTTTCTCTAAGGAATTATGAAAGGCATCTTTGGTCGAAAATTGTGTTGTTATCTTACAGGAAAAGTTAGCGTCTGCTAAGGAGCTGAAACCATTTATAAAACACGCGTCTCAGATGGCTGCACTTGACTATATCGTGTCAATTGAGAGCGACATATTTGTGCCTTCATACTCGGGAAACATGGCAAGAGCAGTTGAGGGTCACCGTCGGTTCCTAGGACACAGGAAGACAATCTCTCCTGATAGGTAACATCATTTAACCATTATTGCTGATATTGTCTATACTCACTCCATTACCAGAACTAACTTAAATACTAGTTTTCCCTTAACTTACTCAGGAAAGCTCTTGTTCGTCTTTTTGACAAAGTTCGGATGGGGAGAATGAAAGAAGGGAACAATCTGTCTAACCGCATTGTTGAAATCCACAAAAGACGGTATGCTATATTATATTATATATATGGGGATGGAAGATTTGTTATTCCATGAATCTTGAATTGCAGCAAATGTTGATCATATATATGTTCTTGTGTTGCTCGCTCAGGCAGGGGTCGCCCAGGAAGAGGAAGGGGCCTATATCAGGAACCAGGGGAATGGATAGGTTTCGCTCAGAAGAAGCATTTTATGTAAATCCTTTACCAGACTGTTTATGCCAGGAGTTTACACATACAAACCATTCTCAATAGATTCTTCATAGATCATCACATTTGTGCATAGAAATTAGAAATTCATTCTTTTATTTCTGGAGGGAAGGAAAAAATAGTTGGCACCAATGACATTTTGTTTTATTTTATTTTTGGGTGACGAAGAAAATCTGCAATTACTATTCGAGAGTGTGCACTGGATAAATTCCTCTTGTAACCTTAACTGACAAATGGTCAAAGAAGATAAATCAGTTTAGATTGTCCATAACTAACTGGCTGAAATTAAGAATGTCAACAAATCATTCCAATTAAAAGTCGAACTTCAAATTTGGTGGTTAAACAATGAAAAGTTAAAGACATGATAATGCTATTGTAATAGCATTAATGCATCAAATCTCATGAGAATACATCCATAGTTTAGAATGAGCTTTGAGCAAGTGACAAGTTAGACTGAAAAAATATTGATAAAAATTAAATTCACAATTCTTTTAGTACAATAATTATGTTCCACTTATTATATACAGATAACTACTAAGTAGTATGATTTTAACAAAGAAAAAGAAAGAAGATTGCGACTGGACCCCGCAGCAGCATCTCTATATTTTGATTGGATAGCAGTATAACACCATATCATGAACGCATTACCTCATTCACTATCTTCTCGACTTCTCTCCACAAATTTTCCAGAGAGAGAGAGAGAGAGATTGCAGAAGTAAAATGGGAGTGGTGTCCTTCGTCCCGACCATCCCATCTTTGGTTCTTCCTCCTTCTAAAACTACCCCCAGACACTCCATTGCACCTGTAAGTTTTAATTTCATTTCCATTAACAAGTATATAATACCATTAAGAAGATTGATGGTGGCGAATTTTGGATATGAATATGCTCATTGTTCAATGTTCATTTGCGTCTTTCAAACGGAATAAGGAATGAAATTTCCATATTGTAGAGTATGATTGAGAAGACTTTTGGAGTTTTGGTTACTTGGCAATTATTCTAATGGTGATAACGGAGTAATGTAATCAACAATGAAACTTTCAGGGCACAATCTGCTGTAAGCTCGACATCAGTGGTAGCCATGGGGATTCCATCCGTAGACGCGATTTTCTTCATTGCCTTGGTGCTACCGTAAGCTTGGTGAGACACTGACGCCCTATCTGCTGTTAATCTGTTTGTTTTGTGAATGTGCATAAACTCTTATGAGAAAATCATAACTGCAACTTAGTGAGAACTGAGAACCCTAGCTAAATGAGTCTGTTATATTGTATGAATGAGGCTTATGATAATGAGTTTCTGTCAGTTTTACTTCTATTTAGGATCTCATAGGAAGATCCAGTTCATTCATTGAAGTGGCTAATGCTGCTGATTTGATACAACGCAGACAGCGCTCAGAGTTTCAATGTAAGATTTTCATTAACAATTTTACGATGATTGGACTAGGTTTAACTTCTATGTATTCTCTTTTTTCACCGTTTATTTCCAACAGCAACTATCAAGGATATCCTCTTCACTGCTATAGAGGTAAATCTCGTTTAACATTGTGAACATGCAAGCCTACTTCTCCATTCCAATTCCAATATGTAGTGTAACATGTTCTCATTCTCTAGTGTATATGTTTCAGGGAAATCAGGAGCTCATCCCATCCTTGCTGACTCTGGCTCTTAATGATGCTTTTACTTATGATAAGGTTAGAGATTATCACTTCATATTTAATATGTAAAAGTGGTAAAAGTTGATCTAATTTAAAGGAAATTTGCAGCCTACAAAATCCGGAGGTCCCAATGGATCAATTCGCTTCAGGTACTTTTTAAAGTAATATTTATTAGGAGAAATCTTTTATTCCTCTTTGGACCAGAGTAAGAAACTGTGCGCATAAGATTTCTTTCATTTTAGGCTGAAGCAATGCACATATAATGCAAAAAGCTGGAGCAAACAATGATATGCATGATGAGGCTTTTTCAATTATGTTATCTGGACTCTGCTATAGTAAAAATATATTTAAGCCACAATTTTTACCTAATGGACACCATCATGCTTGAGATATAATGGATGGAGATCCTTTGATATATGAAACATTGTCCAAAATTATTAATCTGATATGGCTGTAGTGTTAAGTCATGAAATTTTTCTCTTGAAGAAGCTGTTTATGTCGCATAAACTCCATGTTCATACACTGCCTTCATTTTTTAATTCTTCTTTCCTGTCTGTGTTCTTCCTACATGAAGCTCAGAGATCAGCAGACCAGAAAATAAGGGGCTTTCCGCAGCTCTAAATTTGTTAGAGGAGGCAAAGAAGGACATTGATGCAAAGTCCAAGGGTGGGCCGATCTCATATGCAGATCTAATCCAATTTGGAGGTAAGACTTTGTTACATTTTGTGCCCTGAATTATATATTTTAACTGGACCAGTTTCTGTTAATAAATCCGAGACTGATAGTACCTTGAGAAGATCCACGGCTGCTGAATATAGTCAGAAAGCATGCAACGTAATCACATTTATATGTTCTGAGGATGGAAGGTTTCTAACTCATCAATATGAACTATGTTGTTGGATTTCCTGCTTCATGCACTTTTAAGACACTTTCTAACCCTCTGAATTACATCCTTTTAATTTGTTTTTCTTACTTTTGGTCTCTAAAAGAAAACCTTGTTGCATCAGCATCCATTCATTAGTTTCTCCAATTACATACTGAAATCAGGGAATCAGCTAATACAAAATAAGTACAAATTTGGCTCTGAGAATTTACAGCACTGGGATTATAACGCATTGTCAACTACTGAGACACCCTTCAATCTAAGGAATCAAAAATCCTTTTTCAGCAATTTATAACACAATAAGAAAGGAGTATCTTCAGATTTATGAGGACAAAACTAGTTTGACAAAACTACTGTGTAAAGTTTGTGACTTTGTTCTGTAATTTGGTGCAGCACAAAGTGCGGTTAAAAAAACCTTTCTTAATGCTGCAATTCGGAAATGCGGTGGGAATGCTGAGAAAGGGGCTCTTTTATACAGGGCATATGGCTCAACTGGACAGGTTAACATGAAGCCATTTCAAGCATTCTAGAAAGCCCAAGTTTCACTCCCATTGAAAGCTTGAGGCAAACTAAAAAGACGTATTTCCATCAATAAGCTTATTTTTCTATATGATTAATTGTATTTGAACAGCGTTCTGTTTATTTGGACAGTGGGGCCTGTTTGATAGGCAATTTGGAAGGTCTGATTCCACAGAACCTGACCCAGAGGGAAGGGTCCCTCAGTGGGGAATTGCTAGTATTCAGGAAATGAAAGATAAGTTCAAAACAGTTGGCTCTGGCTTTGGCCCCCGCCAGGTAAGTCAATGCATTCTTTACATTTGAATGTTTTTGGAATTGAAAATGGCGATATTACTGTTTTTAATAACTGACATTGCCGGTCATGTTTTGAATTTCTTGCCCAGCTAGCAGTAATGTCTGCATTCCTGGGGCCTGATCAGGTTGAAACTGAGGCAAAATTGGCTTCAGACCCAGAGGTCCTCCCATGGATTCAGAAGTACCAAAGGAGTCGAGAAACCGTATCCGAAACTGATTATGAGGCAAGTGTCACAACTTTTTTTTTTTTAATTGCATTTCTATAACAACTTATACTTCATAGATTCTGATTGTTCTTGACAAAAACAAAGGGATTGTTAAAAAGCTTATGGTGGGCTGTAAGAAGTTGCAGCATTGTATAGCTAACACAAAATTCTTCACCTGACAAAGACATATTGGTTTTCAGGTTGACTTGATTACTGCTCTTACAAAATTAAGTTCCCTGGGCCAAGAGATCAATTACGAGGCATATACATATCCTGTCAAAAAGATTGATGTGACCAAACTCAAATTGTAGTAAGTAGAGTGCATGAGGTTTTTTTGCTATCATGATATATGTTCAACTGCTGCAAATACTGCATAAGTTTTGCAAATGTTGTAGAGCAAGGAACTGCATCAGAGCACAGATTGAATTTATCGAAATGGCATTTTTTCATATTGTACTGTTCACATCTCGCAACGATCAGTTCATTCCGTTGAGACATCAAATTTCTTAAAAGTTCATGGGAAAACTTTTGTTCCTTTACCCTTTTGAAATTTAAAGTGGATTGTAGTAATCCAGGTTGGTCGGATTATTGACTTAGTAATCACAATGTTCTAAATTTGATTCCGTAGTTCATTGATATTTTTGATCTGAATCAGTCAACTATTAGTAATTTAGACTAACATGCATACTTTCAAATAGCAAAAAAAAAAAAAAAAAAAAAAAAAAGTACACTACTCAATAATTCGATATGAGCAAATACCAATTTTGGTCCCACGAGTATTAACAAAATGATAGTTTTAGTCAACATGTTTAATTTATACCAATTTTCATCTACGATTATTGTTTTAGTACTAATTTTTATTCACGACTATTATTTTAGTGTCAAAATTTATCACGCTGGTCGTCCCTTTATTTAAGACATGCCGAAATATGAAATTATTAAGGGTATTTTTAGCCTTTTTCAAATTATGAACCCAATTTGAACATGAATAAATGGATTTAAGTCCTAAGATGGATCTCAAATATTCTCAATTCACAGTTCTCCTCCCCAAATTAAAGTAGGATGAGGAGGAGACCTGCAAATTAATCTATTTTATTAATGCTCAAATTGGGACCTAAATTTGAAATGACGAAAATATTCTTAGAGATTTTAAATTCGGCATATTTTAAATGTACAATTAACTGTCGTGATGAATTTTGACACTAAAAAAATAATCATAAATGAAAATTGTTAAGAAATTAAATATATTAATTAAAATTGTCATTTTATTAATATTTATGGGACGAAAATTCAATACGAGAGAACCGTTACATTTGTATGAGTGTAGACCAAAAGCCTGTTAAAATTACGATTACCAAAATGGAAAGAATCGTGAATCGTATGATTGGTCAAACAAGACAGCCCATGGAATGTTGCATAGCAGTATAGCACTCCGTACATGTGAATCCAATTACTCATTAATCCTCGAGAAATCCTATCAGCCAATGAGAAAGCGAGTATAGAGACTCCAGGATCGAGATCCTTCAACAGTATTGTACCTCAGCCGTATACCATTATCTAAAGAAACACAAAAACTCTACTCTCAACCGTTGATTTGATAGTTTGATAGAAACACGGAAAAAGCTAAACTGGTCGAAAAATTTCCCCCAGATTTCACCTACCCCTAACGATATAAATATCCTATACCACCCACCCCACCCCCACCACACCACAAAAGCGAAAGCCGCCTTGTCATTCATTCTTCGCCGATAGATTCCATCTCTTCTAGTACTTGACCCAAGTTTCATCGCAGTGGTAATTTCTCTCTTCTTCTCTTAATAATTCCCATATTTCTTGTTTCTTCATTCGATTACTTTTTGTGTCAATTGTATCAGTAGTTTCTCAGTTGAGTTTCGGATATTTGAAAATTTCCTGCTAGGGTTTTGATTTGAGATTGGGATGTAAATGTTCTTTATTTTAATTAACGATTCTCAACTGGTGTTCGTTTCGAATTGGGAGGAAAACGAAGGAATTTGAGTAATTTGGTTGGGGAAATGGGATTTTCTAAAAGAAAATAATTGTTATATAAACCCTAGCTTCGTGGATTTATGGAGTCAATTCATGTGTATATACTTGTTGAGTTTTGGTTTTCTTATTTAAAATTTGTGCAATTCAGATGGCCCGTACCAAGCAAACTGCTCGCAAGTCAACCGGAGGCAAGGCTCCGAGGAAGCAACTTGCCACCAAGGTAAGGTTTCATTTTTCTCCGGCGTGAATTTTTTGCATGCCTGCCCTAATTTCAATTTCACTGAAAATTTTGTGTTAAATCTTTTACAGGCTGCCCGAAAGTCCGCCCCAACTACTGGGGGAGTGAAGAAGCCTCACCGATACAGGCCTGGAACCGTTGCTCTTCGTGAAATCCGCAAATACCAGAAGAGCACTGAGCTCCTTATCAGGAAGCTGCCATTCCAGAGGCTTGTCCGTGAAATTGCCCAGGATTTCAAGACTGATCTGCGTTTCCAGAGCCACGCTGTGTTGGCATTGCAGGAGGCGGCCGAGGCTTACCTTGTTGGGCTGTTTGAGGACACTAACCTGTGCGCCATTCATGCCAAGCGTGTCACCATCATGCCCAAGGACATTCAGCTCGCCAGGAGAATCAGAGGGGAGAGAGCTTAGATCTCTTTTATACTTTCCCTTAAAATGTAAAATTGTTTAGCTAGAAGCCTAGAAACAAATATTTTCTTGATTTATAGAAACCATGACTTTCTTGTTGCTTCAGTAATGCAAGTGCTTTATTTCCGATCCTGCGTTTGCGAAATCATTCTATCTTCTAATTGCTTCTTTTTATTCTTCGATGGTATTATGATTGATACTCCGTATATGTATGCATCAGTGAATCATGAATCATGATTTGTTCTTGTGGGGAGTTTATTACTAGTCTTTGCCCAATCAAACATTTAACAAAGCGATCAAGCATGTAAATTGAAAATTGTTTTGGTTTTTGATCTCTTCTGCAACTTCGCCTTAACCAGTTTGGTTGGCGTGAGTGGCCATGTACTCTCGTTCCTTAAAGAGAGAGGGCCAATATTTTGCTTCTTAATTGGACCAGGAACAAGAGGACAAACACTTTGCTCCTTAATTAGTCCAGTATAGACAGGATAAGCACTTTGCTCCTTAATCGTCTCTTAAAGAGAGAGAGCCAATACTTTGCTTCTTAATTGGCTCAGGAACGAGAGGACAAGCACTCTGCTCCTTTGCTTCTTAATTGGCCCAGGAACGAGAGGACAAGCACTCTGCTCCTTTGCTTCTTAATTGGCCCAGGAACGAGAGGACAAGCACTCTGCTCCTTAATTAGTCCAGGACCGATTGCTCCTTAATTAGACCGAGTATGATACAGACTAAAATGCTTGATTTACCATGTAAATAAAACTTTAAGAAGCGCATAAAGATAAATACCAAATGATTTAAGTATTTGTATTTAATTAATAAGCAGTTCATTCTCAATGACTGGAGAACCCCTTAAAACAAAAAACCATAACATGGGAAACAAAAACAAACTTCTTCTCCAAATTAAAACAATCAAGGAGAAGTGAAACGCTAATGTGAAGGAATCCACCCTCAGTGTTGTTCTTCTTCTTTCTTGGGGTTTTCCTTGATCTCATCAGTTCCATCATCCTATAACACAACCAAGGCATCAAATCTTTAGTATTCGACGACATTTCAAAGTAATGAATGTGTATTTGAGCAGGAAGAAAATTATTATTGGACTACCTACCTGCATATCAGATGTCCATAGAGTGAGATTGTCACGGAGAAGTTGCATGATCAAAGTGCTATCCTTGTATGACTCCTCTCCCAGGGTGTCCAACTCAGCAATTGCTTCATCAAAGGCCTATAGCATGGATGGAAAAGATATAAACAATCATCACAATATCAAACAAAACCATGCAAATAAAACCCAGAAATCCTTACCTGTTTTGCAAGATTACAAGCACGGTCAGGAGAGTTCAAAATCTCATAATAAAACACAGAGAAGTTAAGAGCCAGCCCGAGACGGATTGGGTGTGTAGGTGCAAGTTCAGCATTCGCAATGTCCTACAAACAATCAAACAAACTATTATAAGAAATTCTATTAGGTTATCAAAATTCAAATACCTGATAATGGTGGTATCAGGTAAGATGAAATACGATTTTATTTTTGAATTCTGTTTTGATAAAACAAATTCACTACATATTGATTGTTAAGACATGCAAAAGTAGGAACATTTAGATATACACTCATCCCCTTTTGGTATTGGCATTATATAGAGGCCGATATGAGATAATGGCCTTCCAATTCCAACTTCAAATAATATATCAAGTACTTTGAAACCAGAAAAGCCAGAGTAGATTGAAGTTCAGTAAAGAAAACATGAACTATCACCCCAGGGATTTGTTATGCCAAGCATATTATTGGAGACTTGGATCAAAATGCTTAACAAGTCAGCAACTTTTTAACAGGTACAAATCGCATGCCCAAAATCATTTGAAATCCGTAATTGTTACGATCTAATTCAAGAGCTTATTGGAGTCCATTTTACTATCAATAAAGATTTTATTGAAACATTCTACTTACAACATAACAATTGATGAGAAAAAAAATTCAAACTTTATACGCGTAATAAAGTAAAATCTTCAATGCATAGTGAATTGGTAACTTCAGATAAATGATGGGTGTATAAATATGTTAACAGAGATTTAACACGGCTACAGTATTCAGATCAATAAATCTTTGTAAATTGTAATTCCAAAATCAGCATATTGAGGAGGGCAAAAGAAGAAGGAAAGTAAAAAAACCTGAGCGGCTTTGTAGGCAGTGAGAGTGCTCTCGGCAGCCTCCTTACGCTCGGCGCTGGTCTTGAACTCAGCGAGGTAGCGGTGGTAGTCGCCCTTCATCTTGAGATAGAAGACCTTGGAGTCACCGGCGCCGGCGGAGGGGATGAGCTTTGTTTCCAGGAGCTTAAGGATGCCATCGCAGATCTTGGAGAGCTCATTCTCGATCTTGGATCTGTAGTCGCGGATAGCGTTGACGTGGTCCTCGTTTCCCCTGGACTCCTCCTTCTGCTCGATGGAGGAGATGATTCTCCAGGAAGCCCGGCGAGCACCTATGACGTTCTTGTAGGCAACGGAGAGGAGGTTGCGCTCCTCCACGGTGAGCTCCTCGGAATCTCCGAGGGAGGAAGACACCTTCTCCATGAACTCCACCATTTCCTCGTACCTCTCGGCCTGCTCCGCCAGCTTGGCCATGTACACGTTCTCTTCACGCGCCATCTTCTTCTTCTTCTTTTTGTGTAAGAATCACGGATCCCTCCCTCCCTGGGTGAAGAAACTAGAGAGATCTGGTATGAATGGAAGGAAATGCAAGCAAAGCTAATAAGTTATGTAGAGACCCAAAAAAAACTTAAAGAAATGAAGAGAGAGTAGAAGGGGGCCAGCGCCAGCGATGGTTTTCAGCTTTTTGATTTTTCAAACGAGAGGAGGAGAGACGTCTTCGGATACCATTTTCTAGGGGTTGATTTCTCTCGCTGATTCTCCACCCTTGGATTTCCGACATCTTCAATGTTACGACAACCTTTGATATTTTTGTATTTTTTTTTCAAGAAATACTTACTAGTTTATTTTTAGATTCTTTTTTGTGTGACCCAATTATAAGATAATCTAGTTAACCAATAATTAAAATAATAAGTCCAAAATTTCAATTCAAGATTTGTTTGGAAAAATCTCAATCAAGTTAATTAAACTATTGATTTTTTTTCTTTTAAAACAAATTATTGGCTTAATAATTACTAGATTTCAAATTTAACTTATAAAATGACTAATTAATATTTTTAGTTTAAAGATGACAATTACAAATAATTTAAGATTGTTTATCTCATTGTAATCTGTTATCGATTGGATTTACTTGTGTACATTCTTAGATAATTATTATGAATTTTTGTCGTGTCATTCAAAAAAAAAAAAAAAAAAGATTAGCTATTTAAAACATTGACTTGAGCAGGCCTAGTTAAAAAATCAGTAACTAATCTAGATTGGTTTGAATTTGACTATACATTTTGTATTCGTATTAATAGTTTGCTTACTAATTATTTAATTAAAAAATTGAAAGAATACGGGATTTCAACTGCTATCCCAAACGGAAGGAATATGGTTAGGGGCGTTAATCCAAAAGGCAGGGCGTTTCTGAGCCTAGTTTAACGCCAACCGTCCATAGTGGCGAGGGCGGAGGGGACGGTGGCAACTTGTTTCCTTTTTATATTCTTTCTTCTTTTTCTTTTAAAAATTATTACACATCATTAATTTGTTTTTTTATTTTTTATTTTTTGTCTTTTTGCTTATTGCTTTGTTCTTTGCATGTTGCTGTCGAGATGCGAGTTGTTAAAGTGTTAAACTATGGACCAGATCTACCTTGTAGGGTGGACTCTACTCTTAAATGATATATAAATTGTGTATTTTTAGTATTATAATTGTGAAACTTATAAAATATAAATTATGTTTCTAAATCAAAACACATAACAATTGTAAAAGAGAATTTATAAATACAATACATGGTCATCAAATCATAATATATATTAATATTGTGTGTTTGTTGTATACAAATCGTAATCTTTTAAACGGTAAATTATGAATATTTAGTATGTAAATTGTAAACATTTCAACAAAATAATTTGCGGTCGAGATGCTAGCCCAATAAAAAAGGATCCATCCAAAAGCCCACACCAAATGTCCCATAGGTCTTTGGGCCCAATGAAGTCCAAAACTGGGTCGTTTTAGTAAAAATGGGCTGGGCCAAATATTAGGGCCCAGAAAAGAGCGGGCATTCCGCTTACAGCGTGGCAGCTTTTTCTTCATTGCGAAGGCAAGAGGTGAAGTGATTTATCCAGTCCAGTTTTTGAGGTGGTGGTATGTGGGACCCATTGATGTCTGCCAAACAATTCCGGATTTGGATTCTCCAACTTCACACTGTTTTTGATACTCCGATCCTTCCGAATTGGGAACAGTGAAAAGAAAAAGAAAGGGAAGAGGGAAGGAAAGAGAGAAACCTCAGACAGACAGCACAAAATCAAGGTTGTCGCGTAGTGTGATAGGTGACACATTCATGCCTCGTTCTTCTAACCTTCCGCTTTATTCCACGTGTGTCTAATCACTTCCCACTCGCTCCGCGGTCTTCCCTAACGCAGTCTACTCCCCCCCGTTGAGTCGTTGCGCTGTTCTTTTCTGCTCCCAACCACACTGCCAAACCACTCCTCTTTGCTTTCGGTGCTTTCTGGATATCTCTCAAGCCCAGCTTGTTAAAGTTCCCATTAAGCATTTCATGGGATTGCAAAGAGTGGGGAAAAAACCAATAAAGATTTCATCTTTTTCTTGAAATTCCAATTTTATTTGTTGGTGTCATGGATGCCTATGAAATTGTGAAGGATTTGGGGTCGGGGAATTTTGGGGTTGCCAAGCTTGTGAGGGACAAGAGGACCAAAGACCTCTTTGCTGTTAAATTCATTGAAAGAGGGCAAAAGGTTTCTTTCCTTTTTTTTTTTCTCTCCCTATTTTTGAGTCCTTTTATTTCTCTATCTGGTTAGTTGTGTATTTCCTTTTCTGGTGTTGTAATAAATTACTGAGTATCATTTTCTTTGTGTTTTGTCTCCCTTATTTCTATGGGTTGCAGATTGATGAACACGTGGAAAGGGAAATCATGAATCACAGATCATTGAAGCATCCTAATATAGTCAGATTCAAGGAGGTAGCTCACCTGGCTACTTTAAACAGTTGAATTTTCTGTTTCTTCTCATTTATGGAGCATTAATTATATGTCTGATTCTTTTCAAGCAATTAAAATCCTCCCTCTATTGCTATTTGCTAATTTGGTGGTAAGAATTTTTATGTTGTCTAAGTCATCTGATGGTGTGCCATTAAGGCTTAGGTTGCTTTCATTTTAGAAGATTCTTGTTTTTTTCTTTGGAAACATGGTTTTGTCCTTATAAAGTAGGACATGGATGTTGATGCTCTGCATCATAAATAGAATGAAAAAGACACCCCTTAAAAGTATTGATAATAAGCTGAGTTTTTGTGTGGGAAATGAAGATATATAGTAGCATGGCCGTGGATCGAATAGAATGCAGTTTTAAGTTTTAACTCTGATGTCTGGTAGATACATGAATGGCATTGTGAGCTCATTCATTCATAGAGAGGCTACAATGGTTGAAATACTTAGAAGAAATTTCAAAGATAGTTAAGCGGCTATGAGGTTCCCTTTTTCCATATTGTTGCCTTGAGCTTTGCTATACTTGTTTTGGACTATGAGAACGGATCTGGATTCTTCCAGGTCTTGCTGACACCGACTCATCTGGCAATAGTTATGGAGTATGCTGCTGGAGGAGAGCTCTTTGAAAGGATATGTAGTGCTGGAAGGTTTAACGAAGATGAGGTATGTATGACATGATGAATATAGATATAGTTCATTCATATCTCTTATGCTTCAATCTGTATTATGTATACCCATCAATCTCAAAGATGAGCTAAAAGGTTACTGAGAATTGTACTTTTTATATGTATCTGTCCCCCTCTTGTCAAAACAGCTCGGCTTAGAGTTCTAGTGTGAAACTGAAATATGTCAGCTTGTTGCTATTCTATTTAGCTATGGCCGAGTATTTCTAAGTTCCATTATCGTGAAACTTATGTTCTTACTGTAAACATTATATAGCTTGGAAATCATTCAGCTGATTTACTTATTCCTGAAATGGTGGGGGTCCTCCAACTGGCTAATTTTAGTATTCTAGTATTTAGTGGACCAATTGCTTGATCTTTCTTCTTGTTTGGCTCAGGCGAGGTTCTTCTTTCAACAACTGATATCAGGCGTCTGCTATTGCCATTCGATGGTATAACATCAAAATGTAGTTTTATTTCCCCATTTCTTGTTTCTTGCTCATATTTATGTTTGCATTGCAGCAAATCTGCCATAGGGATCTCAAATTGGAAAACACATTACTAGATGGGAGTATAGCCCCGCGTGTCAAAATATGTGATTTTGGGTACTCTAAGGTTAGTAATTTTATTATCATATAAAACTTATGATTCAGCAAACCAAATCCTTTTAAACTTGTTTGCAGTCAGATGTGTTTCATTCTCAACCTAAATCAACTGTGGGAACACCCGCTTATGTTGCTCCCGAGGTCCTATCAAGGAAAGAATATGATGGGAAGGTGCTAACCTATCTCATATTTTCCCTCTCGTACTACAATTGGAATCATTTGTTGCATTAATGACATTTAATCGAGAAACCATTGAAATCTTTAGCTTGCAGATATCTGGTCTTGTGGTGTCACATTGTATGTGATGTTGGTTGGAGCCTATCCTTTTGAAGATCCAAGTGATCCAAAAAATTTCAGAAAGACCATTGTTGTGAGTAACTAACTCCCAATCTAAAAGAAAAAAGAAACACCCTTCTTGAGACGAGATGCAGACTATTACTTACTGCTTTCCTTCACCCTTTACAGAAAATACTCGGTGTCCAATACTCCATTCCTGATAATATTCGCATTTCTGTTGAGTGCCGGCATCTTCTGTCAAGAATTTTTGTGGCTAACCCTGAAGAGGTAAACTATTTTGATTCAAGAACCAACTCCATTTTAGATAATCTTTTGCTTTGTTATCTGCAATGGAACCTGTACCAATACTTTGATATACTGTTGAAGCTATTTACCTGTTTTTCAGAGAATAACCATTCCTGAAATAAGAAGGCACCCATGGTTTCTGAAGAACTTGCCTGTAGAACTGATGGATGGAGGGAGCTATCAGTGCATGGATGTAAATAATCCTTCCCAAAGCATGGAGGAAATATCGTCGATAATTCAGGAGGCAAGAACAGTGGTTCAGTTGCCCAGAACTCGAACGTATTCTTTTGGTGGGAGCATGGAACTTGACGATTTGGATGATGCTGATATTGAAGATATAGAAACAAGTGGTGACTTTGTGTCTGAGTTGTGATGGGAACCACAACTATAGACAAAAAAAAACAACAAATCTTTTAACAGAGGTGTTGTCCCAAGATTTTCTCAGTGGTTAACTTGCTTGTTGTGTAACATTTGTGTTTATAATGTGAAAAAACAGTTGTCTATATGTGAGCAAGTTATAATTTTGTCCATGGTACACCATATACTCATACTCAAATACATCGCTAGCATATCAAATATTCTCAAGGCTCGTAATTGTTCCTTTACTTATTAAAAATAAAGATTTGTGATCATAGTTGCCATACATATTGACAAAAATGTGTGCCATGTCAACGTACAAGTAAATGTTAAAAGGAGTTAACAAAAATAATGAAGAGTGTATATACCCCAAGGCTAAATGGGAAAGATGGCTGGCTAATAGGAGCCCTTGTAACTGTTGAGATCTCCCCATACAGTTTCCTCCACTTCTTCCCATGATTTTGCTTTCCTAAGTTCCTTCCAGATGCTGAAAATAGCTCCCAAAACATTTTCATCATGCAGAATACAGTAGCACCTGTATGGACATAAAAAAACTCAGACAGAATTAATCAATCTGTCTAGTATAACTTGATCCCAAAACGGATTTAGAAGAGTTGATATGATAGATTAATGAAACGTAGGATCTGACTAAATGCCAACTTACATAGCTTGATAAGACAGTCGTGCACATTTGCTGTTATCTGCTGCTACTCCATTCAGTTTTTGTCGCCCTAATAATGGGAGTTTATAGCTTTCAAGAAAATGCTTCAATAAACGTGAATCTCCTCTGAACATATCCAGATATATTGGAATCAGATCTAAGAGGGGGTCACCTGTCAAAAGTAACTGGGTCAAATAAAATTGTAGCAAGTAGCAACCTGTAAATGAATACGACTAAAATTTAAAATTTATGCTGTATTCTTTTGAGTATCTTAAATAGCTCAGTGAGTGCTGCAAATTGCAGGTGGACATCAAAGCAATTGAAGCTAAGAATCAGATCAAAATGCATTTACCTTCAAATGTTATAACTAATTGGTTATTTGTGACGGGAATTCATTTTCAAAATATAAATATGAGAGTCCATATCAGATTTATTTGGTGTTGCAAGCAACTGGATAAATATTTTATGATTTAGTTTCTTTTTGTAAATACAATTATTTAAGAAAATCTATTGCCACTAGGAAAATTGGTTTCATATCTCCAACAGGATAAAAAAGAGAGAGTTCAGTGAAAAAAAAAAAAAAAAAAAAAAAAAAAAAAAAAAAAAAAAAACCAACATAGCAAAGTAAAATTACTTAAGAAGAAATTAAGTTAGAACTCACCTATAGACAAATTGCTGAAGTCAAGTATGTGGTTTGCAAACCATGAACTTTTCTGCTCACTGTGATCACTGTTAGTCGAGTTACTATTCTCTGCTGAGCAAGAGTTAAGGCAAGATAGTTCCATGTGGATATTGTCATCCATTATATCTGAGTGTATCCAGGTGCAAGACTTGTCAACTCCCACGGTATCCTTAATAAGGGTAAAATCAACAATCAATGTGTATATTGTGAGAATAAGAGTGAAAATTTTGGAGCTCCCATTCTTGTTCGATGGAGAAAGATCCAAAAGAATACTGGTATATTAAGAGAACCCCAAAACCAACCTCAGACACAAAAAGGAGCTTTGCTAGGTTGTCAGGTAAGTATTCGCTGACTTTCTCAATCAGAGCAACAGGAATTGGATCACCCCTGCAAATTGGGGGGAAAAGATTTAGACAAGCCCAATATTTCTCAAACTTTAAGGAATTCCAGGTGGTACATGATAACAGGAGAAACTGAAATATTGTTTAATTTGCATTCCTGACAGCTTATGGTAGCTGGTGAGGTCATTTGCAACACTGAGAATAAAGATTAATAAGGCTTAACGTGCTACAGAAGTACATGGACATGTTAATTAGCCTTGGGAATTTAAAAAAAAAAAAAAAATCAATTGTAGCAAATAAGGCATACCATTTCATCAAGCGGTTGGAAACATCTTCCTTCTTCTTGTTCAGTGTTTTTATGAACAAATCCCACTCCACTGGAATACTATCATTCCCAAGAAGCCCTACACAACCATTAGACTGGGGAAGCACTGTTTCCTCGTCACTTCCTAAGAATGCTGAAAAATTCAAAGATGGATATGGCACAAGATGAAGATTCCTCAGTTGTTCTCCCAGGAAGGAGGCCAAGCTCAGAGTCTCTTCCCACGACAGAGTTTCTCTTCTGCAAATAAACCCAAAAAAATAAAATAAAATAAAACAGCTGCAAGAATGCTTCTGATGAAAATATCAATGAAATCAGTAACACCAGAGTATTGTGCTTGTAAGTTAAAATGATGTCCCACTTACAGATCTGCAAATATTTTTCCTCTGCATCTTCGAGTCACAACATATGGCCATACTTTCAAATTGTTACTAGTCTCCAGTTCATGTGGAGACATTCCTGCCTTTTTATATTCAAATTGTCCTTTGCTCCATACGCCATATGGATAATCCCCCAGTCGATGTTTACCAAGAAGTGGAACAGAGTTAGAAATCACCTCAGGAACGTCTTTTCCATCCCAAGGCACAATTCTACACAATCCATTTTCAATATAGAGAATCCCACTGGCCAAAACATCAGGAATATGCTCTTTCAAAGGGGAGTTAACTTTCTTAAGAGTACTGTAAAACTCGAGCTGAAAATGTGTAAACATGAGCATAAGAATACAGTAAAAATAAAAGGGCATAAAAGAAAGTGGACAATGAAGATACCTCAGTCCCTAAAGAATGAAGTGAAGCTTCTAACCCTCCTTCAACCAATATCTTTATCACATTGTTGGAAACAAGATAAACCTGTCATAAAGTAGAACTTAAGAATCCAAAGATCAAAGTATATCTTTTCCACCCCCCACCCACCCCCCCCCCCCCCCCAAAAAAATAATAATAATAATTTAAAAAAATGGTTTAGATATATAAACACATGTGATATAAATTATGCACAATACACACATGCACTTGAACTATCCATCTTTGCTTATTGTCAAAGCTCACAAGATCCTCAAAACCTTCAAATTTCCACATAACCAACAAACTACTCCATTAAAAGTACTAAGCTAAATACACATGCATATATATCAGTTAAAGAATGAAAGTTATGTTCTTGCCCAAATACTTACAGGATTGCTCCCTGTCCCAACAGGCAGCCTCTCATCTTCTGTAGGTAACGGTAACTCATGATAGGCACAAATTTCCTCCATACATTCAAACCATCTGCTACAATTCAAAGCAATGCAGGCTCCCTGGGCCAATTCAGATTAAAAAATGGCTAGGAGTCAGACATATAGTTTAAAAAGATAAATAGAATTCAAACCAATTCCGCCCATGATTATAGCTGAATTTCCTTATGCGATTTATTTTATATATTAGGTGGACAAGCCAAGGAATTCAAAGCCTCAAATCTAGGCACGGAGAAGCGGTGAATAAGAATAGGTTATACCTTCCAAATTAGGTCCCTAAGTACTGGTCTTCTATGCCAAAGCCGTGACAACCATTCCCTCATTTCTCGTTGCCCAATACAGTTACTTAAGCTCCATAAAGAATTGTAGTGATCCCTTTCTTTATCCAAGAACATGGCTAGGAAGTTTATATCATAAGAAAATTCCAGATTGCTAGTGTCATTAAATTCAGGATCACCGTTTCTAGCAGTTACACAGTCTGAATCCTCGATGTGTTGGGGAACTTTAGTCCTCTTCTCTTTTCTAGTCAAGTCTGAGTTGCTAAAATTATTTTCCACACTCTGTATATTCATTCTAACATCCTCAATGACACCTTCATCCAAGGCAAGCAATCCAGCACGGCAGACCCCTTTGTGTGTGTAACCAGGAGCCATATCCAGGCATACAAATTCAAAATTTTTTGAATTCACAAAATTCTGTGTAACAGCAATAGTGGTCTCCAAATTTAACACACAATGCCACCATCCACTTGGTACAAATATTGTTTCTCCAGGGTTTTGTGTACATTCTATTGGCTTGTCCTCATCAGCAAGAAGGGGATAAAAGTCCAGCCACCACTGAAGGAACACGAGAAGAATATATTTAATTAAGAAAAAGCAATCATATATATATATATATATATATATATATATATATATATATATATATATATATATTTATTTATTTATTTATTTATTTATGTATTACCTGCAAAGATGATGGAGTGTCAATATTGACATCACCATCTTCTTCATTCACATGCACAGTCACTCCTGCAGGTACCCTTCCAGGAGGATACAATGCCCACCTGTTTAAAGCAAAGATATTACTTACCACTATTGGACTGCTCACATATGTAAAGCTTGCTAAGTATAAATTGTTCAAAAGGCTTTCAAAGGCAAATGGCCTATTTCACCTGCTTGTCAAATGCATATAGATTATAGGCTACATTTTCTCCAACCTATAAGCAGTCCTACAATCACACTGTTCTTTTCTTTTCTGGGTACTCCAATTTAGACCATTAATTATGTGATCTAATGTATTACTTATACTTTGAACAAAACAGAAGAAGAAGAAGAAGAAGAAGATCACCTGCTTGTCAAATGCATATAGATTATACGCTACATTTTCTCCAACCTATAAGCAGTCCTATACACACACATTATCCCTATGTGCATGGATTAACTTCTCTTTTGATTACTCCGTATTAAAAAGGTAGTAAAGCTTAAGTGTTGGTTTCATCATTTTGCAAATTAAAAAGTGTGTTCTAGTTTACTACAGAGTATATATTGAAATTTACCTGAAACTCATGCAATGGTCCTTTTAATAGGTCTTCAATAATAGTCAACTGTTTTCATAATTGATTATTACTGTAATAGTTCAATATTTTTAGTAAAAATCAATGATATTAATAATTTTGAAAGGATGAAAAGACTCATTTGTTGATTTATAGATTACATGTTGCATAGACTGAAATCAATGTAGTATATAGTACGTAGTACTAGTTATGACTTATGAGATGTTGCTTTATTACTAATACATGTTTTGCCACTCAGTAAAAGTTCCTGCCACCACCGCTTTATTAGGGTAAGAAAATGCATGAACTATAGAGGTTTGTAATCCTCAAGTTACCATTTACCTTTTACGCCCACATAGGAGAGTATTCCATGCACTAGTAAGACCAGGATCAACATGCCAAGATGCACCAGACCTCTCTGGTCCAACAATCAGCCATCTATAAGGGGGGCGTTGTTCCCTATCCAATACATCAAAAAAGTCTTCTTGGAAAAGGTGTGGAACACTATAATCCTCAAGTAGTCCAGGAGCAACTTCCCCAAACTGTATAAATCATGAATCTCATTAGTACAAGTGGCAGGATAAACTGCATGAGATGAATACTAATGCAATGAAGGTACCTTCTCATCAAAAATATATAGAGGATCCTCGTCATGCTGAAGTTGCATGTAAGACACATAGTCTTTAAGTGTCATAGTTATTTTCCGAGGACTCCTTTGAGATATTTTAAATGTCGTATCTCCATACTTCAATACTAATTGCTCTGTTGTCCATGTATTACTAGCAGGCCAAGAATCAGCTAATCCAGCAATCAAAACCTGTTTTGAAGTGTTAGTGCTTTGGTGGTAATCCATGTGAGCATTAAAGCATATACAGCACTATAACTATCATGACTTGTCTAATCAAGTGAAGAGTATCCACATCAAACAAGATGATAGAGTAAATGACTCATTATCCCCATCTCTTTATATCAGTTTGCTAGGGCAAGTTAAAAGAAAATCAAGAAACAAATGAGGTGAGAATGGCTGGAATGATTCCATCAACATAATAATTGCTCCATTGGTTCCATTTTATATGTATGGTTCATTTGACGAGGATTGGCTCTACTTATTTCCAAGTCCAATTTTTATACCAACCAATTTAATGTTTGCAAATAAAATTTATTTAGAAAATATTTTTAAAAAATTTATTGATACAAAAAAGCTCAATTTTAAAATTGAAAGAAAATGACAGGATAAAAAAGGGGGAAAGAAGAATTGGTGTGACCTACAAAGAGTAAGAATGACAAATAAAATGGGACAAGACTCAAGAGTACTAATTATGGAGTATTAGTTAATTGAAAGGAGGATGCATCGATTCTTAACTACATATTAGTGCACATTTTTCACTTTAATCAGTCACAAAACACCATACCGGTTTTTGTCCGTCATACTTATCATGAAACTCTTCCAAAGAGAGGTTTTTAGACCTTTCCACATTTCCATTATCAAAAGCAAAACCATTCAGTGCAGTATAGCACCGGTATAGTCTCCTATACAGAAAGAGAGAATTGAATCCTGCAACAGACAGACTCCAATCAAAGTTGGCAGAAGAAGGAACTGACAGAATTGCTAAAGGAACCCACTAAACCCTAAATTAAACTTCCATTACCATCAAAGCGCAGTGGTTTCTGGCAGAGTATATCACTTTCAATTGGCAGGTCCATCCTACACAAGAAATAAATAAATAAAATTTTATTTATAAGAAGATCTGAGAGAAGCGAGATACAGCATAGCAAATTTTCAGAGTGTTTTCAGAACCATACTGATGCAATGCTGTTTTCTTCCAGGAACCTTTGTACTGCAGCGGATGCTGTAGATTGTTAAGACATAGGCTAATCCAGAGGGGCTCCTCATTGCAAAATATGTACAATACACTACAAAAGGAAGAAAAACACCCCAAAAATAAATAAATAAATAAATAAATAAAACATGAGGAATGGACAGGTGGCATTAACATTTTCCTTTAACCTAAAATCTAAATGGCATTTGGCAGACAAGAATATGGAACTGGAGTTGAATGGTTGCAAGTAAAATTATTAGACTAAACTTTCTTGACCATGACCAAAGGCATCAATGATAACTTCTCAGGAATAGACAAGCACATTTAAAATGCTCAATTTGAGGACAGTACACCTCCAATTCCTGTCTTACTATATTATCATCCACTTCTTTGAAAAATATTTTCTCCTTGTACCTTTGCAATAGCAAATCTCAGTTTTTGTAAGCTGTATACCATCTTCCCTAACCTTTTTCCCCAACATCTCAACTACAATGTGAAGAAGGATAATGTGGATACTCTACTGTCAAGAATCTCCAGCACAATGTGTAGATCATATAGTGTTTGCAAGTCCAAACATTTCTTTTTCATAAGCCCTTGCACAATGACGCAGGCATATTAATGTATAAATGGAAAGGCCAACAGCCGATCCAGCAAATATGACACAGAAGCAGTTATTAATTCATTGCCATTGGTATTATCAGTTCCTCTATCAATTGCTATCAATTCTTTTCCCTATCAAATGAGACCGAACCTGACCGGCAACTTGATCCAGATATATGTCCACAAACAATTAACAGTGAGAGAAGCTCCAATGTATTTGGAATTAATTTTTACCCTGTAGTATACTGGAGTTTCAATAGATTCTAATATAAGGATATTCCAAAATAAGCTATTCTACTTGCAAACAATTCGTATCGAATTAACTCAACAGCGGCCCAGAAAATATACAAAGATTATAACTTTAGACCCTTTGAATTCAAGTGTCATATCCATCAGCAAAATCCACATACAAAGAAGTTATGTATCTAAAATGTTAACGGACTAAATAAGAAACAAGAAAAGGCAATCAATGAAATAGTGAGAAAGTACACATGTTCACCAATTCAAATAAAAACACATTCTTTAACAAACACAGCTTCATAATAGAGGCCGAGCTATTTGATAAAACAATAAGATAAGTTCAACCTAGTAGCAGAAAACGCAAGCTAAAGTAATTGTGATAATCGGTTGGAATTATAGTGGAGACCTGCTAACACAAGCAACGCGAGCTACGTCTCGAGGAGATAGATAAGTCAGAATGGCGCAGAGGATTTCATCAGGAAGAATTCGCAGGTCTCCTAGAGCGGAGAATCGCCGATCTAGAGGTGTTGCCTCAATAGGCCACGGTTGTGATTGAGAGCTCTCTTCCACCTCCATCTTTTAATGCTTTAAGATGAAACCAGTAACCGGAGAATTGAAATTAATAGTCTTCGGATTTTGGCTTTTGTATAGCATTTGAAATGCGAATGGCGTAAAATTTAGGCAGCACGGCGGCGCGTGAGAATTGCTTTTAATTTCTTGAGCGCGGCAATAACGTGTGCGAAAGACACGAACGCGCCATATCTACGACCTTTGCGGAATTTTTATTTTTTTATTTTTTCTGGCTATCTCGTTTACTTTTAGGTCGCGACGCTGTATTCGTTCTTTTAGATTTTTTTTTTTTAAACAATTCTTTTAGATTTTATATTCACCATTTGAAGTTTAAAAATATACCTTATTCAAAGCAAGTATTTATCACTAATATTCACTTTAATATTAATAATTTATTTTATAAATAATAAATTTAATAGAACAAGACTGCTTAGGGCATTTTCAATAAATAGATTTTTTTTTGTACAAGAATTAAGAAGTTATGTAGGATAGAGATGAGGGAGAGAAAGAAAAAGAAAATAAGAAGAAAATAAATAAAGTAAAAATAATGACAATTGCAGAAAACAAGAAACAAAAAAGAATGACTATTATTGCGCTGACAGCATCTGTGTGGTGTGGTCCAAAATAAAGAAAGAGATGAGGTCCTCATTTATGACAAAATCTCCATTCTTACAGGAGGAACTCTCCCCTTTCTCTCTTCTGCCTTACTATTTTTCTTTAAAACTTATGCACAAATCCCTTATTGGGGTTGCACTTAGAAACATGATGAACAGTTTAATTTGTCTCAAAATGTATTAGTACTAAATCGTTTGGGCTAGTAGTGATTGATTAGGGTGTGTCAACCAAGGTGGTTGAGTAGTGATTAGTAGAGGCACTAAATCATCCACATGATCATACTACCAAATCGACAAATCTATGTGGTAATTAGTTAGAACGCAAATAATTGTAAATAGTTGATTAAAACAAAGTCAACAAAATGTAATGGAGTGAGAAGATGTGCACACAAGGATGAAATGAAAACAAAACTTAAATCTAGTCTCAACTGGAAAAATATATTGTTATTATAAATATAAAGGTAAAATAAACATTGAGTACTGAAAGTACATTATTTGAATACTGAATATACATTATTTTGTATACTATCAAATAATATATATTCAAAAAATTTGTTAAGTTTTACAGTTTAAAATTAGTTTAGCGTAAGCTGAAAAACTTGATGTATATAATAAAAGCTGGGCCACACTTTGGCCCATATTAAGTTGATATGGGTTTAAAGCTTAAATAAACCACTGGGCCCGGGTGGTAATGGTATTAATCTATATCATAATAACATTTTCCTTCATATTTTCACTCACCTTAACACATTCATCTCTATAGAAACAGCAGAGACATGTATTTGCGCAAGCAAAATTTTCTTTATTCATTCATAGTCACATAGGAAGCGAAATGCCGGAACTCTCATACAACATATTCTTGCAGTATGCACAATAGCTCACAACATAATCTAGACATGGTGTCATCAAACCTAAGCGCGTATTAATACAACCAACCATAGTTTAAGGAAAACGAAAGGGGACAAAAACAAAAGACAGCAACCTCAAACACCCTCTCTACAGTCCTGATGTGCTTCCAATTCTCCTCTTTCTCAAGCGCTCCGCAATGATGAATGCAAGCTCGAGGGACTGAGAGGCGTTCAGCCTAGGGTCACAGTGGGTGTGGTAGCGGGAACCCAGATCGTCAAAAGTCACAGTTCGTGATCCACCAATGCACTCTGTCACGTTTTGGCCCGTCATCTCTAAGTGCACACCTCCTGGGTGGCTTCCTTCTTGCTCATGCACATCGAAGAACGCTCTCACTTCAGCCTGTTGCAAAGTGGTGTATAACGTTAGGGAATTCTTTGATGAATTCTCAAAACATTTTCTTTTAAAATGAAATATAGAAGACTAAATGTCTCTGTCGTATGAACTATTTAGTCATTCATTCTTGATTAAATTTTCAAAACATTTCCATGCATCTTCTAGGAAAAACCCAGCAAAAGTTGGTGGCGGAAAAAAACCAGAAAACAGTGCACCTACCAACCAATGTGGTCCCACTATGTAAACGCAACCACCTCCCAACTACCATTGCAATGCAGAAAACGATGTGTTCTCTGGCCTTGCATTTTCCACTTCAACTTTTACGAATGTCCTGTCTAGTTCACTTTATTGGCCTTGTTCTTGTCAAGGGACATGATGGCACTACCTATTCTACCATCACTTGTGGCTTGTTGAGTTAGCAGCCCCACACCATAGAACGAAAAACTAAATTATCAACTTATCAAATAATTCATTTAGCCCCGTAAGTGGAACCCTCTATGCAATACATCTCCATAATTATTGATGCAATTGTCCATTCCCATTGCTTTCAGAGAATTATAGAGTGCTAATAAGTACTATTTTGAGCCTTATGACCCCTATCAACCCAAAAAATTAGTTGTGCCTAAAGATAGTAATTTAAAGAGAATTGTAGGAGTAAATAAGAGGAAAACCCCTCTTTTTCAAGAAGCAATATGCTGTGCAAGACAAGATCACTATCACCTAGTTCATTTGTTTTTCTCTTTTATCCCACTAGAGCATATAGAAGGCATCGTTATTGGATATCATTCAAAGTCTGAGGAATTAGAAATAGGAATGCCAATACTTACCCTGATAGAATCAAAGGGTCGAGTCTTAAGACCGCAGGGAGCTTTAATAGTGTTTCCATGCATAGGATCAGAAACCCAAGTCACAATTTGCCCGGCTCTTCGGACTGCCCTGATTAAATGAGGAAGCTTAACCCTCATGTTTTCTGCTCCCATTCTTGTAATTACTGTGATCCTCCCAGGTTTGTTCTGAGGGTTCAAAATCTCAATGAGCTTGACTAGCTCATCCGGATTCATCTTATCACTCACCTATAGTATAAGGCATTCATTCGATTAGCATTCCAATTCAAAGACCTTTTATGAAACCACATATTCATTCAAAGCTCAAAGAAGCCACTAGATAGTAGATAATAGTAATCACCTTAATCCCGAGAGGGTTAGCAATTCCCCTCAAGAACTCAACATGGGCACCATCTAGCTGCCTGGTACGCTCCCCAGCCCAAACGAAATGGGCAGAGCAGTCATAGTACAGTCCAGATGTTGAATCCAGTCTGGTAAGTGACTGCTCATATGGCAAATGCAAGCACTCGTGAGATGTCCAAAAATCAGTGGTTTTCATGATGGGATGATCCACTGTAAGACCAGCAGCAGACATAAACCCAAGGGCCTCATCAACTCTATGAGCCAGTTCACGATACCTGAAAAGCCAAGAAAAAACAACAACCCAGTGATTATGAATTCTATTACTTAGGTTTAGACCACCTAGAAATGAACAAATATCAACCTAGTCTTCAGACAAACTCAGCATCAAAATCTAGAGTTAGACTAAATCCTAAAAAGAGTACTACCAAGAGGGGTCGTGCATCAAAGACCTTTTACAATCTCAAGATATATTATCAGAACGAACAAATTCATGGTCGTTAAGAGACTAAGAGTTTGTTGTTTTTGTACGGTCTTTGCTAAAGTAATGGTCACATACAAACAACTTAAAGTCTACTAAGGCCAAACAATAGAGTTTGAAGAAAAAGTAGAGTTTATTGCTTTCATTTTTTTAATGCTTCCCCTCTTCCTTTGGTTTATTTACAAGTGATATACTAATATATGGTGCACCAAATACAGTATGATAAGGCAGAAATACACTAATACATTCCTTATAAGAGTAAATTAGGATAGCAGAATATACCTATCGCCCTCGCTTTGCTCTGTGAAATCCAAGTTCCATTGAGTGACCCTCTGCATAGCTGCATACCCTCCAGTGGCAAAAGCCCTCAACAGATTCAGAGTAGCTGCAGATTGGCAGTATGCTCTGATCAGCCTCTGAGGGTCTGGGGTTCTTGACTTTGCATCAAATGCATCTCCATTTACGTTGTCTCCCCTGTAACTTGGCAACTTTACACCATCCTTCTCCTCGAATGAGTCTGATCTTGGCTTTGCAAACTGCCCAGCCATTCTTCCCACCTATATATAACAATTTTCCAGTTGATTGTTTATATATCATAAATTCCATTTACAGAACACAAGAATAGGACAAGACAGACTATAATTGTTTAAAAAATTAGCAAAGATGGAATTTTGAATTCGTTGTCAAGGGTTTCTGACCTTTACAACAGGCACTTGACCGCCGAACATGAGAACGGCGCCCATTTGGAGGAGGATCCGGAAAGTGTCCCTAATGTTATTGGCATTGAACTCCTTGAAACTCTCGGCGCAATCCCCGCCTTGGAGAAGGAAGGCCCGACCCATTGCGGCCTCCCCGAGTTTCTCCTCAAGGCTGCGTGCCTCTCCGGCGAAAACGATCGGGGGGAAAGACTCGATGGTCTTGAGGACCGATTCGAGCTCCACCTGATCCGGGTACTCGGGGAGCTGCAGCGCCTTCTTGGATTTCCAGCTGTCCACGGCCCATTTCGTCTTACCCGCGTCGGGTTTCGAAACGGTGGTAGTGGCCGTGGCGGCTGAGGAGGCGGCTGCGGCGGCGGGCGGGGCGGGCTTAGAAGAAGACTTGTCAGACACAATGGGGGATTTGGAAGAGTCGGCAGATTGGATGGCTGAAATTGGCTTCACAGATCTGACGCTCTTGGTGGAGAAAACATGGGTGTGGGAAGACAAACTAGGTTGTTGAGTTGGAACAAAGGTTTTGTTTCCGAGGAGAGAGTTGGCACCGCTTGCAGTTAGAGCCATTTTTCAAGAACGAGGATGTCTGTAACGCTCTGCAGACAATGAGTGGCACCTGAGAGAGGTAGAGGGGAAAAGCAGAGGGTTTTATAAGCGCAGGGTTGCAATGGTGGGTGGAGGAGGAAGAAGAAGGGGGAGGTAAGGGTGGGGCCAGGGGTGATGATGGTGGTAGTTGAGGGGGACATTCTGGTAATTTCGGTATTGGGACTAGTACAAGTCAAACATGGTTTGGTTCCCACAATCCCACCTACTTAATTTGGAGCTTACAAGTTTCACTCATTTTTGTTACAACTAATCAATTAATACAAATTGAAAATTTATACTTATTTTTTTGCCAAAAAAGTCTGCCACTTGCCATGTTATATGCTGCATTTCTTGTAAGGATTATTACCTTGCTTCACAAATGTTTCATAAAGAATTATTTGAATAAATCATATTATAACTCTTTAACACGTATTGTTTTAAAAATT